GATCACCAGGTTCTCCTGAATTGGTATACAACCCGGCATCAGGGACATTTACGATCGCCCCACCGAATGGCAGCGGTTCAATAGGTCAACCAGGAATTGGATCACCAGGTTCTCCTGAATTGGTATACGACCCGGCATCTGGGACATTTATCATCGTCCCACCGCATCTCAGCGGTTCAATAGGTCAACCAGGAGTTGGACAACCCGGAGTTGGACAGCCAGGGACTGGACAACCAGGAACTGGACAGCCAGGAACTGGACAACCAGGAGTTGGACAGCCAGGGACTGGACAACCAGTGAGTGGACAACCAGGAAGTGGTCAGCCAGGAGTAATATACTACCCTAAAGTCATCCAGTCACCAGAGGACCAGCAACCGTCATCAGCACCTGGTGGATCACCAGGCATAAACTACATCCCCGATCCATCCCGTCCACAGGATCACTCAGGAAATCCAGGAGGTGTCATCTACCCCGGATTCCCAGGGATTCCAGGGGTTCAGTGGACTCAGGGAACTCCAGGGGTCCAATGGAGTAAGGGAACTCCAGGGGTTCAATGGAATCAGGGAACTCCAGGGGTTCAATGGAATCAGGGAACTCCAGGAAGTCCTGCAACAGCTTCAGGATGTCCTCCCTGCCCTCCGTGTCCTTTGTGCTCTGGAAATTCGTTGGAATACCCTCCCTTGCTCACTATTTACAGACAAGCAATTGATCGACAGAGGGCAATGATCAATTCTGCATTGAATTCCAGGATGTCGATGACCGCTGGATTAACACCCAAAAATTCGGGGGTTACCTGGAATTCCACGAGTGGAATTGATATCAAGGGTCCTGGAGGTGCTTCCAATTCAGCGGGTGGGATAGAACTTAAAATTACTAGTGGAGTTGATTCAAAAAATCCAGGAGTCAACACTTCTGATAAAGGAATAACTGCGACGGCTGGAGTAAATTCCGGAACTCCTGGAGTCACCATCACTTCAGGGAATGGAATAACTCCGACGGCTGGAGTGAATATCGGGATTCCTGGAGTCGCCATCACTTCTGGGCATGGACTAACTCCGACAGCTGGAGTGAATATCGGGACTCCTGGACTCACCATCACTTCTGGGCATGGACTAACTCCGACAGCTGGAGTGAATATCGGGACTCCTGGAGTCTCCATCACTTCTGGGAATGGAATGACTGCGACAGCTGGACTGAATCTCGGAACTCCTGGAGTCGTCATGTCAACGACAACTGGAGTAAATCCCGGAAGCTCTCGAGTCTTCATGACTCCCACGAATGAACTGGATCCCAGAAATTCTGGAGTCTTCATGTCTCCCATGGCTAGAGTGCACATCAGGAGTCCTGGAGTCGGCATGACTGGAATGGATCCCAGGGGTTCTGGAATTGTTATGAATTCTGTAGGTGGACCTGTTGATCCCAATCAGCCCTATACCATCAAGTACACAACACAAGTACTCAGCTCCTCAGGTCAGCCGATGAGTCACGAGAGTCACGTTGTCAGTGAAACTGATGGAAAGAATTCCTCGAAATCATTGATCATTCCGCAGGTAAATCTTTTATTCATTTAATCTTTTATTTTTCATTTTATGCAATTTTTCACATTGCTCAATTTGTTCAATTTGTTCATCATTTCCAATTGTTCAATTTTTCCATTTTTTCCAATTGTTAAATTTTTTCTATTTTTCCTATTGTTCAATTTGTTCAATTTTTTTAAATGCTGAATTTTTTCGATTTCTCCAATTGTTCAATTTGTTCAATTTTTCCACTTATTCAATTTGTTCATCATTTCCAATTGTTCAATTTTTCCATTTTTTCCAATTGTTCAATTTTTTCTTTTTTTCCTATTGTTCAATTTGTTCAATTTTTCTAAATGTTGTATTTTTTCGATTTCGCCAATTGTTCAATTTGTTCAATTTTTCCACTTATTCAATTTGTTCATCATTTCCAATTGTTCAATTTTTTCATTTTTTCCTATTGTTAAATTTTTTCTATTTTTCCAATTGTTCGATTTGTTCAATTTTTCCACTTATTCAATTTGTTCAATTTTTCTAAATGTTGAATTTTTTCATTTTTTCCAATTGTTCAATTTGTTTAAATTTTCCACTTATTCAAATTGTTCAATTTTTCTAAATATAGAATTTCTCCAATTTTTTCAATCATTCAATAAAAAAAATTTTTTCAACAGGTTGTTCAATCCGAAAAATTAATGCAATTGTTGAAGAAGTAATAAAAAATTGGTACTGTTTTCCTCAGGTTCAGGAGAGATGCCAAGAGCATCAGAGCCAGCCGATGGTGTACCCTCCCCAAGCCCATACCTACAAATTCGGTGTAGACGGAAGAGCGAAGCAGTGGGTGAGATCAACAGATCAGAACGAGGAGAGTGGGGATGCCGATGTGGCACACCAGGACACCGAGGGTGGGATAAACGAGGGCTCGGGTAATCCTGCACCGAGTCCGATGAGAACAGCTGGTGCTGGACGTCCACTACGAGATGAGAATGACGAATCCACCGTGCAGATGAGCATCATCGGACCTGGGGGACGATCACTGCCCCACCAACCCAAGGGGGAGGCCCAGCAAGCCGTCGACAAGCGAGAGGAACTCGCCAAACGACAGGCCAACCCCTCTGCTAACAACATAAAATAATTCTCCCTCTTTTTTAATGTTTATTTAAAATTATATCTTTTTGTATCGATTTTTTCATTAACATAAAGTTAAGATCATTATATTTCTGGTCTTCACATTTATTTATCTTTTTTTATATTTCAGAAACATTTTTTATTGTTGAGTAATCCATTAAATAATTGAATAATAATTGATATCAGTAATTAAATAATGATGAAACAATGAATTCAATTGCCCCAGTATTCGCAATAAAATTTCACGAAATAGATAAAAGGTATTCGATTTATCAATCAAAAAAATAATAATTGATTCCTGTTATCAGATGATATCACCCGATACCACAATAAATCGAGATGTCCGATGACTTCAGCCATTGAATCGTCAAAAAGTTGTTGTTCCCGGATAAATAATTATGGGACAGTTAAATCGTTTATCATTCGCCGTTATCATCATCTCCGGGGCAGTCCTGATCATTGGAAATTTCGGGGAGGATCCAGACATCCCTAGGAGAGACAGAGGACCTTTTGGGGAGGATCCTGTGGAGGTGGATGGGAGTCATCGCCTGGAGCGGATCTATCGGCGCTTCAGGTTCTTCTATGAGCGACTGCTCAGGGAAAAATTGGAGAAGGACGAGGAGATCTCTGGAGGATTCACCAAAAACATCATCGACGCTCCATCAAATCCTAAATGTCCACCAGGACAGAGACCCGATGGTCACGGACGGTGCAGAGTGCCTCTGTGATTATTTATCAACAATTAATTAATTATTAATCCATTTTAATCAACCACAAACCAATTAATTACCCAATTACCTAATTAATCAATTAATTACCCATCGAAATTGACAGAATCTTGAATATTAAATCATCCGTGATTTATTTAAATCAATAAAAAATTAATTAAGTGCTGCATTAATTAATTAAGTCATTCGTTTATTCGGATTGATTAAAAATTTATTGATTGTTGAATTAATTAATTAATCGGCGGGTGCGTTTATGGGGATTGATAATAAATCTGTAATTTGTGATAATCTGATAAATTTGGTATTTGTTATTAAAAAAAGGGAGTGAGTGACATTGAAACGAAATCAATCTCGATGTTGTCTGGCTTCAAGGTCGACTCAGGTGTCAGATCCTCTTACCTTCGCAAAAAAATTACACCGCAAAGATGTCAATGTTCTCCAAGTCACTTCAGTCACAAGTTCACCATTACTAAAGTCCATTCTCAAATTAATTAATTATTGCTACCACCAAAAAATTGTATTCCTCAATTAATTGACAATTAACCATGCGATTAATATTATCCACAACATAAACAATTACTGTTAAAAATTCAACTGTTTAATTAATAAATAAATGAAGAAGAAAACAGGAAATTCACTTGGAGTTAAAAATTAATTAATTAATCATTGCAATCACAAATTTCCAATTGTTTAAATTACAAGCATTTCCTGTTAAAAAATCGACTATTCAATGTTTAATTAATAAATAAATTAGAGAAAA